CCCCCCCCCAGTTAACAGTTATATGTATGTGGGTCCGCCAATGAGTGACTGTACATTTCAGTTGTACATACGTACGTGACTTTACTCTCCAGTGAGTACTACACACGTGACTGTACTCGCAATGAGGTACGTCATACGCGACTGTACTCTCCTATCGGTACTACACACGTGACTGTATTCTCAATGAAGTACTTCACACGTGACTGTACTCTCCTGTCGGTACTACACACGTGACTGTACTCTCCTGTCGGTACTACACACGTGACTGTATTCTCAATGAAGTACTTCACACGTGACTGTAACCTTCATTCAGCCGTACACACATATGTGACTCTGTAGTTAAAAGTACAGAAGTGACTGTTCCTTACAGTCAGTCATTAACTGCTGTGATTTGAATGACATATCAATTATTGTAAGTAGTGCGAATAGTGTATCACCACTGTATATATAGAAGTGATACACCGTCGTTTGGTCCTCTATGAGTCAGCGCCAGATTTACACATCTACTTGTAAATCGACATCGGCACTTCTAATATTAGTTACGAATGCTGGCACCATGACAGCTGCCTACACTCTGCCACGTTTACACACAGATAACCGAAAACGTCTGTTCAAGTAGTGTATTGACATCTATGCGAGAGAGTAGACAGCGAATGTACGTGCTGCACGTCGGCGGCAACGGCCTGAACACTCCATGGATAAGAGTTGGTCGAGTAAAGCTTTCAAGTTTATGAGTAAAATCATGCGCCATCAGGGTTACAAAAGCTACACAAAAGTTACATGTAGTGTAGACATATTTGGCTTACTTCAATACACTATCTGTATGTACCTGTCTAGGTGATGGTATCAGCACCTTTAATATACAAACTGTATGTACCTGTCTAGGTGATGGTGTCAGTACCTTTAATACACTTACTGTATGTACCTGTCTAGGTGATGGTGTCAGCACCTTTAATACACTTACTGAATGTGCCTGTCTAGGTGATGGTGTCCGCATCTTTAATACACTATCTGTATGTACCTGTCTAGGTGATGGTGTCAGTAACTTCAATACACTATCTGTATGTACCTGTCTAGGTGCTGGTGTCAGCACCTTTAATACACTTACTGAATGTGCCTGTCTAGGTGATGGTGTCCGCATCTTTAATCCACTATCTGTATGTACCTGTCTAGGTGATGGTGTCAGCACCTTAAAATATGCTAACTGTATGTACCTGTCTAGGTGATGGTGTCAGTACCTTTAATAGACTTACTGTATGTACCTGTCTAGGTGATGGTGTCGGCACCTTAAAATATGCTAACTGTATGTACCTGTCCAGGTGATGGTGTCCACACCTATAATACACAAACTGTATGTACCTGCCTAGGTGATGGTATCAGCACCTTTAATATACTAACTGTATGTACCTGTCTAGGTGATGGTGTAAGTACCTAAAAAACACTAACTGTATGTACCTGTCTAGGTGAGTATGTACCTGTCTAGGTGATGGTGTCCACACCTTTAATACACTAACTGTATGTACCTGTCTAGGTGATGGTGTCGGCACCTTAAAATATGCTAACTGTATGTACCTGTCTAGGTGATGGTGTCCACACCTATAATACACCAACTGTATGTACCTGTCTAGGTGATGGTATCAGCACCTTTAATATACTAACTTTATGTACCTGTCTAGGTGATGGTGTCAGTAACTTCAATACACTATCTGTATGTACCTTACACTATCTGTATGTACCTGTCTAGGTGATGGTGTCAGCACCTTAAAATATGCTAACTGTATGTACCTGTCTAGGTGATGATGTAAGTACCCAGAATACACTAACTGTATGAACCTGTCTAGGTGATGGTGTCAGTAACTTCAATACACTATCTGTATGTACCTTACGCTATCTGTATGTACCTGTCTAGGTGATGGTGTAAGTACCTAGAATACACTAACTGTATGTACCTGTCTAGGTGATGGTGTCAGTAACTTCAATACACTAACTGTATGTACCTGTCTAGGTGATGGTGTAAGTACCTAGAATACACTAACTGTATGTACCTGTCTAGGTGATGGTGTCAGTACCTGGAATACACTTACTATATGTACCTGTCTAGGTGATGGTGTCAGCACCTTTAATACACTAACTGTATGTACCTGTCTAGGTGATGATGTAAGTACCCAGAATACACTAACTGTATGAACCTGTCTAGGTGATGGTGTCAGTAACTTCAATACACTTACTGTATGTACCTGTCTAGGTGATGGTGTAAGTACCTAGAATACACTAACTGTATGCATCTGTCTAGGTGATGGTGTCAGTAGCTTTAATGCATTAACTGTATGTTCCTGTCTAGGTGATGGTGTCAGTAGCTTTAATGCATTAACTGTATGTACCTGTCTAGGTGATGGTGTCAGCACTTTTAATACACTAACCGTATTACCTATCTAGGTGATGGTCTCAGTAACTTTAATGCATCAACTTATGTACCTGTCTAGGTGATGGTGTCAGCACCTTTAATACACTAACTGTATTACCTGTCTAGGTGATGGTGTAGGCACCTTTAATATACTAACTGTATGTACCTGTCTATTTGATGGTGTCAGCACCTTTAATACACTAACTGTATTACCTGTCTAGGTGATGGTGTCAGCACCTTTAATATACTACATTGTAACTGTATATACCTGTCTAGGTGATGGTGTCAGCACCTTTAATACACTAATTGTATGTACCTGTTTAGGCGATGGTGTCATTCACTAGAATAAACTAACTGTATGTACCTGTCTAGGTGATGGTGTTAGCACCTTCAACACACTTACAGTATGTACCTGTTTAGGTGATTGTGTAAGTACCTATACTACACTAACTGTATGTACCTGTCTAGGCGATGGTGTCATTCACTAGAATCAACTAACTGTATGGACCTGTCTAGGTGATGGTGTCAGCACCTTTAATACACTAACTGAATGTACCTGTCTAGGTAATGGTGTCAGTACCTAAAATACAATAACCGTATGTACCTGTCTAGGTGATGGTGTCAGTACCTGTAATACACTTACTGTATGTACCAGCCTAGCAAATGGTGTCAGGACCTCCAATACACTAACAGTATGTATCTGTCTAGGTGATGGTGTCAGTACTTAGAAAACATCATCTGTATGTACCTGTCCTGGCGAAAGTATACCTAGAATGCACTTACGGTATGCACTTGCCTATGTTATAGAATCAGGACCTATAATACACATTGATTTGTGAACCGTTTTGGACGACCTACGAACTAGATTGTGGTTAAGCGGTATATAAGAACCTCGAATTATTATTATTACTATTAATGCATTATATGTATGTACCTACCTAGGTGATGATTTCATTACCTATAATACATCATTATATGTACCCCTGCTTAGGCGATAGTATGCCTAGAATACATCATCTGTATGTACCCCTGCTTAGGCGATAGTGTACCTAGAAAACACTAACGGTATATACCTGCCCAAGCTATAGCATCTTCCTGCCTAGGCGATAGTGTACCTAGAATACATCATCTGTATGTACGCACGTCCAGTACGATAGTATACCTAACTCGAGTTGTACCAGTTATCGGCACGTCCAGTGCGATAGTATACCTAACTCGAGTTGTACCAGTTATCAGCACGTCCAGTTCGATAGTATACCTAACTCGAGTTGTACCAGTTATCAGCACGTCCAGTTCGATAGTATACCTAACTCGAGTTGTACCAGTTATCGGCACGTCCAGTGCGATAGTATACCTAACTCGAGTTGTACCAGTTATCAGCACGGCCAGTACGATAGTATACCTAACTCGAGTTGTACCAGTTGTCAGCACGTCCAGTACGATAGTGGTATATGTTTCCTACCTTGGATCCTATCTGGTTGCCGCATTGGCCCGCTTGTATGTGTACTATTTCCCTCATGTCTGCTGTTCTGGTCCGACTGCTGAATCAAATAAGTTATACAGCTTGCATCCCTTACCCAAGTACCGCCAGCTATATGTATACATACATGTCGAGAAAATAGTCCAACAAATCATGTCCCGAAAAACAGAGATATAAACAAATGTTCGTGTGCTCGGTGCAAAATCAGACATTACTCCATACAAAGAACACAAAGGTAGAATCAAACTGTGAATTCCAATGACAAAAAGTTGTTTCACGGGAAATATTTACCATAGATCATTTGATTAGTAAGATTTGTCTTGAAAACAAAAATGAAAATTGAATTTGTTTATGCCATTCCTTAAATACAACAATATACTAGTACTACTGTTAGTTTCAAACATTAGCAAAAATCCCGGAGGAGAAGCTGAAATAACATATATTTACCGTGTTTTGGAGGCATTCATTTTCACTGATTAAGTTACTGACCTATTTCGTGGTTGGTATGTACTCTTATATTTTAAAACTATTAATTTGAAATAAAATCGAGATTGAGAAACAGGTTAACAATTGTTGTAATCATATATGTATAATAACTTACTTCATGGAGATTAATCTTTACAGAATCTTAAACGTAATTCATTGTCGCTATTATTTTTATTTTTTTTAATATTAATAATTTCGTAATTACATTTTGGATGCATAAACGTACATAGGACTTCGTTCTACTCACTGTTAACTGGGCCACTCAGCAATACAATTTGTAGATTATAATTTGATAGTCTATGTAAAACGTTAACGTTTTAGGACCTATCTTATCAAGTTGTATTGGAGTATAACGGAACCCATAGATTAGAAGTTCACAGTTTAGCATTATACAAGTAAGCGTATCTCAGCGATCCCACAGTTATTATGATAGTGTACAGAATAATGAAATTCCTGTCCATGATCTGTTGAAAAATAGTCAAGTAGGACAATGAGTTTAATGCATGATTTCCATAACGGAAGTGTTGTTATGTGTGAAATAATTATGAAACTTGTATATTTTATTATCCAGTATATATTCAACAGATTTTGAACATTTTTTTTTCTTTTTTAACATCACAATTAGTGTTTGTGTTAGATAAAGGTTTTTTGATAAATGACTTTGTGATGAATCCCGCATCTTCCTTAGTGCAAAATTTAAAACACTGGAGTTAATAATATGTATTAACCAACTTGAAGCAGGTCACGGAATAAGTTTCCAAAGAAATATCGCATCATTCGTGCCTTAAATATGTTTTAAACATTCAACATTTTGTCCGCCATCGAGTGGCTGCCCTTTGCACTTAACGATTTTTTTATTGGAATGAAACTGGTGATGACATTTCACAAATGTTTACTTCATTGATGAGGTTCTAAACATGTAGAATGACATTATGATGACTCTGCCCAAATATCCACGTATGTAGGCCTTCATTATACATACAATATACATGTTTCCACAGCGCTAGCATACCCTTCACTGATATTCCTCCAAAATTGCAATAGGTGTTGTATCGCTTCATAATTGCCATTCCTTGAAACTTTCATTAAAAAGCTTAATAATCGTTGAGATGAACACATAATTATGTTGTTCATTAACTTAGCTATGCAACCATAGTCAATGCTTATAATTAGTCGAATGGCAGTCGTCTGATGGCGGAAAAATTGTTGGAGGTTAAGCAGTCTCTATAACATGAATGAAGCAGTGTTTTTGAACAAATAGACAAACTACCTGCTTGAAGTTTGTCAGATATACCATATCAGCAGCAATATTTTACGTTTTTATGTTGAAACACTTCGGAATTTAATGCTAATGTACAAATTAATTTGACATGACAATAATCAATTAAGATTTTTTTTATACAATAATGTACACATCTTTAATGTTTAATATCTTTAATATTTGTTTAGAGATTGCCTTTATACATTCTTTAAAGTGCCTTGGTTCTCAGACCACATATACACATCTTTTAATATCCGTTTGCGTTTTTGCATGGACGAATACGCTGTCTATATGGTTTTAAAGGTTAAAAGCGACACTATCTGTATTTTACTATACACGAATAAAATTTTACACGAACCATGCATTTTAATACACATGTTATTACCAAATACTATTCTCTATTTATAACACGTATGAAAACTGATGTCGATTCATATTAGTTATTGCAGTTTTCCTAATTGCTTGATTTGAGATTTCCTAGTCAAGAATTGACGTCAATGCATTTCAATTAAATCTATTTTTAATACGTTGGTATAACATTTTCGGACAGAATCATGAACATATGTGCATAAGAGGAAGTCACCAGCGGGAGAGCTATCACTGGTGACAAATACCAATTTTAAATGTTACTCCAGGAGATAATCTGTTAATATGCTGAATGACAGTCATTAATACTGTTAAATAGGGCCTGAGAACAATGACAGAGACGCAGACCACTTCCATTTACAAATGTATGCGGAAAACTGTGGTAATCCTGACAATGTGAGCGACCTATATTTACAAATGATACGTAATTTAATAATTTAATAAAATGATATCGACTGCTACTATCTACTATGATTAGAGGGAGAGGACATGGTATATATTTCATATGATAGAACGTTTTCCTGATACAACTTGAATGATGCACCAGTACATTTTGTTTAAATTTTATATGTCAAATGTTGTTGGTATTGAATTCTCAGGCCAAACATTTAAAGATAAGTTTGTTAATATTGCGATTTAAGGTCTTAATTCTCTGATCCATATGTTACAGTCTGTGATGCTTATAAAGATAATCAGAAGAGGTGTGGTATAACACGAACATGAGTCTCAGACGGAGATAGGCTACTCTGAGAAAACAGGCGGCGTTCAACTGAGGTATATGCTGACCAGCAGAAGAACAAATCCTAAGCTTAACTTGACGATGCTGAGTGGTGATCAGTTGCGTGGTCCCGGAGTAGGTCAGCGATCCAGTACCGAGTAAACAGTCTTGGTGTTAAATGGAGAGGTGCATAATGCCTTGGATTCGAGTCCTCGTTTGAGGTAGACGACTTTAGTGATCAGTTGAAGTGTCGGATGAGTGACAGACTGACAGGGCTGGGTTAGACGATACTGAGTCATGGAGATCGGTAGAGATGTATAGCTAAGATGATCAGAAGTACGAGTTCTTGGCCAAGGTATGCGATACTGGAAGAACATGCATTGCAATCAGAAGAGGTGTAGGAGGAACTGGCGATATTCAGTGTAGTTGTGGTGATATGTTGAGTTTAAGGACGACTATAAGCACGAGTCCCTGACGTAGGTAGGCGATCCATTTGTGAGTAAACGGTCTTGGTGTTCACTAGAAGTATTTGATGACCATAAGTGCAAGTTCTTGGCTGAGGTAGACTATAATATATGTAGTAAACGGTCTTGGTGTTCAGTAGAGGTATTGGATGACCAGAAGTTCAAGTTCCGGACTGAGGTAGACTATAACAGTGAACAGTCGTAGATATCACCTGGTGTATGTGTCGTAATTACAGTAGGAGTCCGGGATCCGAGGATGAGGAAGATGATTCTTAGTAAACAACCGTTGATATCAGTTGAGGTGTAGGATGACTAGAAGTGCAAGTCCTTGGCTCAGGAAAACTATACAAGTAAACAGTCTTGGTGTTCAGCAGAGGTATTGGATGACCAGTAGTTCAAGTCCGGATTGAGGTTGACTATAATAGTGAACAGTCGTAGATATCACCTGGTGTGTCGTAACTACAGTAGGAGTCCAATGATGAGGTAGATGATTCCAATAAAACAGCCGTGGATATCAGTAGAGGTTTAGGATGACCAGAAGTAAAAGTCCTAGAGGTAGATATGAGTTACTGAGTGTGGACGAAAGAGAATTACTACTAACTAACCGTTCCATTATTTGGCGCTCTGGAATGAAAACAAAGTGCGATTAGCGCTCTGGAATGAAAATAGAGTGAGATGAGCGCTCTGAAATAAAATTAAAAAAACACAGTGAGATGAGCGCTCTGGAATGACGACTCCGTGAGCTTTATCATATATGCCTATGTAGTATTTTGTCCTAGCTCGGGTAGGTTTCTATACCAACAGATACGATTTTCTTTAAACGTTTATTAAACATGTACAAAGGAAAAGAAAAGAGCTTATAGGCAGGCATGCATATTATAACTAACGTCACGTATGTTAAAGGGACGTGCAAAACATGAGCTACATGTATATGGTACAATGGTACAAGATATACATTTGTTAAAAGACAAACAACATAATATTCACTATATAAATGATGGTTTGGTCAGCAAAGGTAGGCTAAATCTTACTCATTCAGTAAACCTGGTACTCCCGCTTTCTACCTTTGTCGGCGACGTTTGTGTTGTACCGACAACTAAAAAACGACGTCATCTCTCCAAACACCGTCGCCATTAGATTGTTGACGATGTCTCCTGCGGCATCAGAACATTTGTGTTGGATGGCTCCGTACATACACTCTCGACTTCGCCTGACAACACTGTAATAATGGTAAATCAGGTCGGAAAATTAGCAAATTAATAAAATTGGTACATGTACATGCCTTATCATTATAAGTGTTATTGTATTTTCCATTTAATCGTTGTACATCCTTGATTTTTCTAAATTGATTTGAACTGATGACGCTTTATTCACAAAACTTCATACAATACATACAAGATTTTATTTTGATGATGTGTTTCATGAGCATAAAAATATATAGCCAACCTTCGAATGAAATATACATGTTATTTATCAAAAAATAAAAATAACATTCTGTTTATAACGTTTTTTTTTATTTTATTTATAAAGCTACGGACATCACAGAAAGAAATGTACGGGCTAGGTAATGTTACAATTACTACTGAAAATATGTGTTATCCCTTTTAATATAGCCTGCTCAAAAACAGAATAACTTGCCGTGGTGACAAATACGTGTTACTATACCGTCGAGTTACATCTATTACATATTTGCTACGACATGTAGGAGTGCATGATCTGGACTGCGCAACGCGCCAAAGCACGAAAGCACACACGCACGCACACATGTGTGTTGTCATTTATATTATTAAAAGTTATTAATACAACAACAACAAAAAACAATTTTACCTGCAAAACTGGTCTTCTACTTCTTTCTTTGGGCTGGACAGCAGATTAGGGGAAGCCAGTATTTGTTGAATGTTGGAAATGTATTGTATATAGCATCGAGATGTTTGATTTTGCACTTCAGTCAGTGACCAGCAGCTATCATGGGAAAGGTATGCTGAAATAACATTGAAGCGAGGCATGAGGATATTACTGATTCCATTTGAATAATGTTCACTATAAAACATGCAAAGTACTTGTTTTTTTTGTGACGGTTGGGTCATACAGACAGTAGATAATGTGATTGGCGTCTTGATGAGATTGAACTTTCCTAGATCTCCTACCATAATATATTAGTAGGATTAAATTACATACCTTCAAGATCGCCAGCGCACATGAAGTGCAGGGTACCTTTTGTAGTAGAAATGGTGGACAGATACACGATATTGGAGTCACAACCTTCTAACTTAGGCTCGAAACAGGATTGTAGGTGGTGTCTGTACCTATTAACATAGTATTGGAAATGGTGTGTGTACCTGTTTAACATACAACATTACCGTAACTACTACAACAGCAGTTACCTTAACTACCACATACAACAGTTACCTTAACCACCACATACATGTACAACACTTACTTTAGCTACCACAAACAGTTGCGTATTTACCTTAACTACCACATACAACAGTTACCTTTACTACCACATACAACAGTTACCTTAACTATCACATACAACAGTTACCTTAACTACCACATACAACAGTTATCTTAACTACCACACACAACAGTTACCTTAAACGTTTTGCAGAGCTTATCACATCTGTTACTTATAAGTTGTCGATCATGTACCTGCACATTTGGAGCGCCTCCATTTTTGGCGGTATTGCCGACATCTCGTCTGATGAACGGTCTGTGACATTGTAGGCGAATTTCCATGTACAAAGGTTTAGACCTAGCAGATCACAGCCGTGTACGAGACTCCCTGGTGGTCAAATTAGTATTTCACAATATAGGTATATGGCAAACTAGTTGTGTGCATCGAATATGATTCAAAATATCTTGCAATAATGATATAATTTACCTGCAGATCAGGTTTAAATATGTTTTCATTTCATAAATCAACTGAGTATTATTTTTATTTTCAGAGGCTTTGGTAGGTGTCCTCGGTGTTATAATTACTGAATTATAAATTTACAATCACAATTGCTACAATTAACTACTGAAACATAAATCCTATTTACGACGCATTATTCCATCATTAGTATCCCTTAGCTATAGTAAAGAAAATTCGAGGGGATATAGGATTCCGCCCGTACGTACGTATCTTTCACTCTTTGCCATCGCTCTAGCGACTTCATTCCTCGACGGAATTTCACGAAACTTGGTACAAGTGTTTGGTATGACAATACCTTATACAAGTTCGCGTTTCGAATTTCTACGTTGAAGGTAAAGGTCACTGTTACTGTTTTAAGAAAAGCTTTGTCATCGCTGTACCGACTTTATTCCTCAACGAAATGTCATTAAACTTGTTACAAGTATTTGGTATGGCAATGCCTAAAACAAGTTCACCTTTCATGTTACTGCGTTAAAGGTCAAGGTCACTTTTACTATTTTTAGAAAAAAACTTTGTCATCGCTCTAGCAACGTCATTATGTCACACTCTGTGAATGAGAGGGGATTTGTATCACATGTGATGCCTTATTTATACACAGCAGTCCAAGCTTAAAGCCTATTACTATACTAGTCTACAATTAAAATTATCAGTCGATACTTACAGTTTGCCACCAACAGAACTGTTATCAAAACGGGATTCATCCGGATAGAAAAGTGACAAAATCGAGAAGAAGACATTTCCCACTTATCGATGTTGATTTCCAGTTTTGTCCAAACAGATGCTATGTCTTTCCAATAGGTGTCTGTGTATATAACAGTTATATATACTTACAACCTGCGCATGTGATCACCTACTCCAGGTTAAGTTTATGGTATGTATCTCTTTACTTTTTATATTCTTTTAATACGGACATGTACGAGAAGTGGCGATTCGTGTTGGTGATATGAGGGTAACATGTCCGACATCTATCTGGCTGGCTTAACAAGGACGTGTCGGCTAGACATGACGCCCTTACAATAACATAAGCATCAATCCCGCAATCGTTGTTGTCGGAATGCTATTTCGGGTTTGTTTGTTTTTTGTTGTTGTTGTATGTTGGAAGCAAACACTTTTGTTGTCGTCGGAGATATGATTGCTTCTTTTCTATAAACTTAAATAAGATGAACGTCAAACACACACACGAGATTGTACCTCTAACAATTGGTAATAGATACGGTAGGCCATACATGGACTATACTGCGGCATACAGCTCTTTCTCGGTGATACTAGGGGCCAAAAGGTTGGGAATCCAAATGGTCTAACTACTGTTGAACCAGAAGAGCTGGTGCGTGAAACTCCTTAAGTTTTTTAAATTAAAAACTTGAGGGATGTTGGTTCATTTGAAATTAAATAATCTGTAAAGGGTGTATATAAATGTAGGTTTACTGATGGCCATATACTATATAAGTCGTACATCTTATTAATAAACTGTATATTTTAGTTAGGGACACATCTATGGTAGTAATCATCACAAACTATTTATATTTGTTAGGACACACATATATAGATATGTCAGATATTTAACTTATAATCAATCTCTCAAACAAATATATTAAATGAATACACAGGAGATCCCCTAAACGTGTTGTTTCAGTATATTGTTTATATCTTCTAAAGTTAATTGTTATCGTTAAAAATCATCTCTTCCTGTTCATATATAGTAAAGCTTAGTTGAAATTTTCCCACTAAAACCTGAATTCAATTCATGCATAAAATCTCACAACATGTGATATATATATTAGCATAAATAGAAGCAGATTTTTGTCTCAGTTACATTGTATATGAAGACATAATGACAGTTTCTGCAAGAGTTGACGGAAACTTATCGATCCTCCGATTGTGGATATTGTTTTGGAGGATTCCCATGTAAAGGAAACATCATTCTTTTTGTTCTGACGTTCCTCGACGGCTTGAGTTCTAATTTATACCCGAGTGTAAAATTGTGGTATATTTGGTTTCCATCTTACACGCAAATTTTAGAGATGCCACATCGTATATCATAAAGGATTGGAGCGATAGATATTGCACATAATGTCGTATCTTTCATCATCATTTAAGAACGTGCTTTGTTTAATAAACTGTATGACATATAGACTTTCCTGTCTTAGCAATAAATCACAAAATTAACTATGAAATCAACTGATATCTATTTGTCTATGAATTTTGACGTCACATTTAAGTTCCGAGCTTTTCATGTTTTATGAAGTGACGATCTAACGTAGACTACAATGACAACGATAAAACAAAGTTACAATTTTACAAATGTCTGAAAAAAACTTCAGTTTCAACCTTCATTCAAGTTAGTCGTTTAATTTTTGAAATACTTAATGTTCATTGATCAAATCAAGCTAACATTAAGTATTTTAAAAACTAAACGACTAACTTGAATGAAACTTCAGTTTTTTCCAGACATTTGTAAAGTTGTAACTTTGTTTTATCGTTGTCATTGATGTAAATGGAGTCTTCGTGGTCACAATTTTATATGGGCTTTTGTGTACATATCCAGAAGCCCTACACGTGTACTTTTTCGGTATACATGTAGCAGTACGTTTACTGGCGAGAAATGTTCTATAATTTGTGATACTTTAACATGTGCAGTAGGTCTTTTGGTAATGATGTGAATACCTGGAGCCGTCAATGTTCATTAAGTTTCTTTTTTTATATATATTTCTTAACCAAATCTTATCAATATATGACGTGTGCTGAAACGTGATTCGGTCGTCATGGCTACATGATCAAAGCTATCCAGAGTTGTCGTTCCTTAGAGTAAGTTAAACTAAGGGCCCGCTGTTCGTTTAAGCAGAAAAACCGGGTTGACCGTCTTTAAATGCAACATTTTTGGGTATAAATCCTGGTGGAAGTGCAAATATTTATGCAGGCCTTGCAATATAATATAATCATTATAGGTGTATTGACAGACCAGGCTAGTACCTGTGATTCAACCGTTTACACGAAAACGACCTCACTAACACGTGCGTGTAAGGAACGACAACTATGCTAGAGATTGGGACGTGTGTTTGTCTTTTGGTTATAAATATATATATATCTCCCGGCTGTAGTGGCTATATATTGACAGACATTTGATTTCCTGTGTATGCGCTTGTCTCATTTCATGTTTTTTAGATAGGTTATTCTGCTATTTTAATATCCCTTTGAATCTGTCTGCTATTTTAATATCCTTTTGAATCTGTGTATTATGTAAAGCCAATACCATATGTTGAAATTAATTTGTAAGTGTTTGTGTAGGGGACCGCAGTGGTGGGCACCCCTTATATAAGTATGTACGCTACCCGTCTTCGGTGGAGAGAGCTTATATTATGATGTATCAAGACTGTTATATAACGTAGAATGGAAGAAAATCAAATACGTACATATAGGTCAACATTTATTATTTCGACAGTCAAAATAAGATAAAAAGTTACACAATGTAAAGAAAACTCTACTGTAAATGATATATAAAAAGACTCGCGTCTATAAGCATGCTTATTATTGTGTATCTATTTATCACTGATTCTCAGTGTAAACAAATTCTGAGAAAACAGTAATAATTATGACGTACATGTCATCATACATTTCATCTGAATTCAATTATCCATTTACACTTTCAATAGCTACACCTGTCAACATACATTTCATTCATTTACACTTTCAATACTGAAAATGTCATATCATCATACATTTCATCTGGCATTTATCTATTTACACTTTCAATACTGATATGTCAACACACATTTCATCTGAACTCAATTGCCAATTTACACTTCTAGTATTTACAGATATATCCTCACAATTTCATCTGAAATAAATTTTCCATTTACACTTGTAATAATGAGCTGTCATCACATATTCAGTCTGACATCTATCCATTTACACTTAAATTACATTTACACTTATAATTCTACCTGACAATCATCTCTTACAAGTTTGTATCAGTTTTTCGACAGACAGTTGGCCAGATAACACCTGAGTTCTAACATCCTCCTGGTGTTTTAGTGTAAACACCATGTTTCGTATCGTCCGTCTGTAGTTGTTGTTCACCATACGTTTAAACAAATGGAAGGTGTCCCGTTCTATTACCTCAGGTAATGTATTGTCCTCCTGAATAAAAAATGTAAAATTCAAGTTCAAGCATACACAGAGACATTTTTTTTTAAATGTGAAGGGAACACATATAATCCAAATACCTAAGAATTTACAGTAATATCTTTAAAAAGCATGTCTGACTATCATATTTATTTCTCCTAATGACTTTTAAATAACATTCAGTTATTAATGTGAAGTATGACTATTGTATTTATCTGTATCAGTATGTAATTGTGTGTTTCCCTTTACTCCCAGTGACTCCCCAATAACAGTCAGTAATACCAAGTATGACTAGTGTATTTAACTGTATCAGTATGTAATTGTGGGTTTACCTTTAGTAATTGTGTGTTTCCCTTTACTCCCAGTAACTCCCCAATAACAGTCAGTAATACCAAGTATGACTAATGTATTTAACTGTATCAGTATGTAATTGTGTGTTTATCTTTACTCCCAGTAACAGCCAGTAATACCAAGTATGACTAATGTATTTAACTGTATCAGTATGTAATTGTGTGTTTACCTTTAGTAATTGTGTGTTTACCTTTACTCCCAGTAACTCCCCAATAACAGTCAGTAATACCAAGTATGACTGATGTATTTATCTGTATCGGTATGTAATTGTGTGTTTACCTTTACTCCCAGTGACTCACCAAATACACGCAGTAATACCAAGTATGACTAATGTATTTATCTGTATCAGTATGTAATTGTGTGTTTACCTTTACTCCCAGTGACTCACCAATAACAGTCAGTAATACCAAGTATGACAATTGTATTTACCTGTATCAGTAAGTAATTGTGTGTTTACCTTTACTCCCAGTGACTCACCAATGACAGTCAGTAATACCAAGTATGACAATTGTATTTAACTGTATCAGTATGTAATTGTGTGTTTACCTTTACCCCCAGTGACTCACCAATAACAGTCAGTAATACCAAGTATGACTATTGTATTTAACTGTATCAGTAAGTAATTGTGTGTTTACCTTTACTTCCAGTGACTCACCAATAACAGTCAGTAATACCAAGCATGACTATTGTATTTAACTGTATTTGTGTGTTTACCTTTACTCCCAGTGACTCACCAATACTAGTCAGTAATACCAAGTTTGACTATTGTATTTATCTGTATCAGTAAGTAATTGTGTGTTTACTTTTACTCCCAGTGACTCACAAATAACAGTCAGTAATACCAAGTTTGACTATTGTATTTATCTGTATCAGTAAGTAATTGTGTGTTTACCTTTACTCCCAGTGACTCACCAATAACAGTCAGTAATACCAAGTTTGACTATTGTATTTATCTGTATCAGTATGTTATTGTGTGTTTACCTTTACTTCAAGTGACTCACCAATAACAGTCAGTAATACCAAGTATGACTAATGTATTTAACTGTATCAGTATGTAATTGTGTGTTTTCCTTTACTCCCAGGGACTCGGACAACAGTCTTTGTCCTGATGACCTCAGTCTTTCTGTTCTAGCATCACATTTTACCTCTATCTGTTGTCGGTCTTGTAAATTCTATAACAGGATTAATACATATACATACAGATGATTAAAAAAATCAAACAAAACATATTTCCCTATGCCATTCACCTCTTCAGTAAACAGTTCTTCAAAGAAGAGTGAGATAGACAAATATGCATCAATCCATGATGTCACTATATATATATAGCTAGTAATATACACAATGTAGATACATACACAGATACTATTAACACAAATATATTTTTAAGCAGAGAACAATCACAACAGGTAGTCCAAGTCTGTATTCCAAAACTTTGGATACAAGATACGAGAAACTTTATTTAACGTCGCATACAGGTTAACAAGGAACATAAGCTCTTGAGAGCTATTATTGCGATAAACATATGTAAAATAACAATAACACATTATATTACAAGTAAAGGGAGATAATCACATATATAAATAAAAAGCAGTAACAGTTATCACAGAAATAGAAAGTATCATATCCCAGGTTTGTAAGTGATTGGATCAACATATACACGAGTGTTACACTTTAAAATCAAATTTACTACTGCCCAGTACTGGAGAAATTTTCAATACACATAAAGTTGACCATGCATTACAATTCAGAAGAAAAAAACCAACAAACAATCAGGTCAAAACATTGCTGCTAATGTTGATTGGAAGTTTATGGTGTGTTTTGCCTGTGAATATCATCTGAAATATGATTTCCAAAGCTTAGAAAAGAGCAATCACAATATAATACATATATAAAAAGTATAACACACAACACAGATATTTACGTACCCTGACACCCCTAGCAAACAATATCCATAGCTGTTTATATTGTAATACACTTTCAGACCTATGTGTAACCTCCTGTATAGGTCAAGAGTAACTGAATACACTTTTGTTCAATTCTGTTTAAAAATGCAATAATTTGTTACATAATGCTTCAGAGTGTGAAAACTTAATATTAAACAAATACTGTGGTTTTATTCTTCTGGCTTCACTTTCTGTGCTTTGTGAGTTCATATAGATTCAAAATAAATTTGAGAACTCAAAAATAGATGCAAAAGAAGTACACGTAGCTTTTTTCTCGAAGAAAAGCTTACCTCAAAATGACTTTTCCATTTGATATAAACCTTCTTGGCTTCTTTCCTGATTACGCTGTCTTCATGCTGCCTCAGCTTGTTCACAACTTTACCTGAAGGTATTGCATACATAGAAATATGTTTTGGTCAACAGTCTACCAAAAATAGGGAGATTAAATGTAACTAAAGACTTTTTTTTGAAGAAAAACATGTTACAGTAGATTCCTCTTAATATCACTTCCCATTTGTCAGAGAAAAACATGATATTAACCGAAACATGACATAAACAGAATACATATTTTCTGATGTTTTTCAACCCTTAAAACCGGTAGTGAANTACAATACTCTTTACCAGTGACTAACACTTTCTGTGAGTAATGTAGGTATATTCTTCAATCGTGACTTAATTTGTTTTATACTGTAGGTACTTATTTGACCTTTTTGCCTTAGATTAAGATCACAGTGTTTTAAATAAAGTATTTTTTTACATCTTCTGAGGTTGATGCCATCCCACGTACACTCCAATTTATGTAAGATATGTCTTGACCATTGAAATGTCATGATAAAGAAAAATATTTTATGAAAATCTAGCACGTATTTGACTTCTGACCTTGAGTTGAAGGTCACAGACACCAAAATCTGGTGCATTGCACACTATTTGTGAGTGATGTACATTGTAAATGTAGGTAACATAAAATGTCATAATTAAGATATAATGTATCTTTAACAGTTTAAATTATGACCCTCACAAAATTTTAACCAACAAAACCAGTCATAATTAAATTAAACTAGATGCATTCCTTCATTTCAAATGAATTGCTTATGTTATAAATGGATTATGAAACAAATAAAAGGTCTAAAATATACATGCAATATTTAAATTCTTGCAACTTGAAAACTGCTTTAATTTATTACCATTTAAACAAATCTAATTGAAAATCTTAAGGCAATGAATCAAAATAGTAACTATTATCCTTGTAAGTTGTATCCCATGGATTGTTAAACAAAATTTGTATACATAATCAATGTTAGTTATATACAGTAAATTTAAAATCACCTATTTTGGTGTCCTTCATCACATTGCGGGGTGGTATTTTCTTGCCAAGTTCCCTTAAGCATTCCACCATTTCCTCCTGTGTTGTGCTGTTTAGGCGTAGTTTGGCTTGGATTCGATGAATATCTTCAATCACCACAACACCCTGCAAACGAAGTGTTTTAAAATCACTATGTCTCTGCTTCAATTCTTAAACCATGTACAACTACCGGTATATATAGGGATTTTGCATCTATTAATTCCTTTTTTACCATTTTAGCATAATTATTGAAGATTAAGTCATTAGACAGCATACATACATACAAATGTACATATATAATACACATAGAATAACTATATAGACTACTTCAATAAATTACATGTCATTAAACGGTAAACCCTTAACAACCATAATTTCATGAATATGGCATGTTATAATTAGAAGCAGGATTTTTAGAGAACTGGTTTACACCATATGTTGGTAGAAAATGTCAGCAATAATTTGATCCATTTTCAACAGGCCTCAATTAATATTTGACGCAATATAATTATTCACATTTTTATATGAGTAAAAATTAGCTGTGCACAACAAGCGAAGGGAGGTAGCTGGATATCACCAGCTGATTTTAATGGGGGTTTTCATGTCTATGTATTTGGAACCGAAAAAAATATATCTATTCAAAATGAAATTTAGACATTTCCCTCCCAATATCAAAAGAGGAAAACTCACAAATCCCTCGGAAAGGTCATTGTATATATATTGTCTCTGTAGTGAAGGTCACTAGTTTTGATTAACAGAGGTTACATTGAATGTATGCTTGGATCCAAAGCCATGTTGGAGAAGGGAAAGGAATCGGATAAATGAGTGCTAATTAAAACTCATACATTCCCTGTGGGACTCACAAACTGGAAGAGAAACCCATTATGTCTCTTATAATTATTATTCTTCCTTTCTTAGTAACACTGCATGAGGACTCATCTTTTTTTTATATAAATGTTAAGAAAACACTTAAAAAAAAAAATCACTGCAGGGGTTAAAAACACAGATCAATAAATTTATTATAAAGTGCAAGGTGCTGTTTGCTTATACAGTGACTTTTGTAGATTTTTTTCAGACTAAAACATCTTTTTCAAAATTCTGTTGAGTATGAAACATGTAAGTACGATATCTAGATCTAGTGGGTCCTCACGAAGTTGGCGAGTCCCACTGGAAAAGCATGAGTCCAGGACTTAATTATATATGATTACCTGAATTTCAAACTTCACTGTGAGTGCTAAACAAATGAACCAAACCAGTATGCATTTTTGCTGACAATGCACATGTACCTGGTATGTCTTTCATACTTTTCTTTCCCTTCACAACATACTTTATCCCTTCTACTCATTTTCATATGTTTTCTTCGTCTTCTCGATAATCGAACTACTCGGTAGTGAAGCGGACATACAAACACTCACACAAACAAACAAAAAAGTATCTGGTAGCTTTTATCACAGGTATTCAGCAGGTTGGGCACAAAGGTACACATGGGTAATAATCCTGCATTTGGGTAATATTGTTACCCATTTCAGTAACAATTTGAAAAAAAATATAAAGTTCTTTTAAACAATATGAACAAAAAAGGCCTTATTCTTTCAACATAACCCAATCAAACATATATATACAATAAGATACAATTGTGCACAAACATATGTTTATTCATGATCAGATGTCTTAATCTTTGTAAAAATGACAAACTTCATCACCTCCATTAATATTGCTTATAACTTGTGTTTTAGAGAAGCTATAGAACACAGAAACAAATCATGCTCACCTACTGTAGTCACATTTGCAATGGATGATCCCATTGACTACACACTGAAGTCATGGAGAGAACAAAGTCAGTGATATGCTTAATTAGTCATTTTCACAAAAAGTTAAACATCAGAATTGATAACTTGTACTAGTGTACTTCATAGTGTTATAAATTGTGTTTAGCAGTAAGTTTAACGAATAACGACCTTTTTTTGCTCGAAGCGTTTAAAAGAACTTTGCATGTTTTTATTTCATTTTCTTCCCCATTTCAGTAATAAAGATGTTATACTAAAATGGGTACAGTAACTGTTACCCAAATGCTGGATTTTTACCCATATGCGGTGCCTAACCTGGTCAGTGCTGGATTGAGGGAGGTCGGGCCGGGGTGGAGGGATTATTTTTCAAATACATAGTATATTATCCGATCACCCTCAATGGTCTCATCGAGTCATTTGGTTCCGGGTTGTTTCACCCCAAATCCCGTTCGCCCTAGGTTGTTTCGCGCCAGGTTGTTTCGCCCTAAAACATTTTTTTTAGGGCGAAACATTGCTTGGTATTTTCTTTTCATTTTTATTTGTTTTAAGTCACAAATTAAGTCTTCTTAGTCTTTCATATCATTAAAATTAGTTTTATTTAAAAAAAAAAATGTGTTTGTGTTGTTTTAAGTACATTGTAAAGCAAAAAACGGATTACGTTATTTTCTTAACGCCGACACACATTATAACATATATTGAATTTAATTTTAGAAATAAGTAAGAATAGTGAAATGAAACAAAAATGGTGTAATTTTAAAAATTGCGGGGTATACAACAATATTATTTTCCATGTTAACACATTTAAATTAGTTTAGTGTACGGCTGTACGCATACTCGTCGCCGTGTGACGATGTTTTCTTTACTTGATTTCTGCACACGTCCGTGTTGTTTTTTGCTAATTGGAGATTATGTCCATTTTGAGAAGTTTTGATAGTACCATGGAATTAGATTGAAGTCCGTGATAGTACCGACCAATAAAAATCAATATGCATATTTGAGTAGTGAGATAATTTTGAGTAGGTAACTTGTCATAAATAGAGCATTTCTCAATACTGTGTTATAATTCAACATTGGTAATGTTGAGTTATAGCACAGTACTGAGAAATGCTCTATTTATGACAAGTTACAAAATGCACAAATCATCCATAACGTAATTTACGTTATGGATGATTTGTGCATTTTGTGTGACTCCGTGGTTAGACGCAGACAGCATGGTATCTGAAGTGATGTGTGTGACTGTTGGCAGCGTAGAACCTGCCAGACTGGCAAGTACATTATTATATAAGTATATTTAATGTATTTTGACAATTCCCTAAGTAAATTGCCAACGTTTATTTCATAATTCAAATGTACACATCTGCTTAACAATTAAAATACGTATCTATGTACTTGGGGAATTATTTACATTTCGTATACGTCTCTAGAGAAAGTATTTCATCCTTATACGCAATTAATATACGTATGTAGTTTCAGTCTATATGCGCAATTTGTAACTAATCTATGTCCATTTCGTAAACGTATCTATGTACTTAGAGAAATTAATTTAGTTTCATTATATGTCCATATCTTATCTATATATTATAAGTATTGTCCATAGAGAAATTAATTTAGTTTCATTATATCATAATATCCATATCTTATCTGTATATTATAGATATATATGATTAAAGTATTAATTTCTTTTCATTCTTATACGCAATTTGTACCTAATCTATGTCGATTTCGTATACGTATCTATGTACTAAGAGAAATTTGTTTTATATAAAATGGCTGACGTGACAGGGTGCTTTTTAATTGTTTATATCATGTTTTAAATATTTTTAACGTTAAAATATATACAGGTGCATTTTATAAAGAACAACATTACTTAATTAAGGTAAAGAAATGAAAACGATAATATACAGTTTATTCCGAATATTAGTATGTCCGTTGTTGGATTCGGTGATGAATATACAGGTTCATTCTTCACCTTCCGGCACGTAATTATATCTTGATTCAAGAGAAAGATATTTTTTTTAACTTTTAACATGATATTTATGACTTAAAGAAAAAAAAATTTTTTTAGGGCGAAACAACCTTGGGCGAACGGGATTTGGGGCGAAACAACCCTTAGGGCGAACGGGATTTGGGGCGAAACAACCCGTTACCGAGTCATTTACCATTTTACACAGTGACATTGTGGTGCAACGATGTATTCGTACACATCTCAATGAATGATCCTTTCGAAGTGGTATTTTACCTTCAGAGATTCGATCGTACTCTGTTTGTAGTACGTTTTCGGCGCTTTCTTCACTATTCCTTGGGCTTCTCTAGGTTTTTTTGTTACAAACTTATCCATCTTTCTATTCGGTTTGTTTATTCCGGAAGTTTGTAATGAACGCCACCTCGTGCCGGAAATGATCAGGGTGCGTTCGTTTCAGAGTGCGGAAAAGGTAAATGGAGACAACCACAGGGATCTGAGAATTTGTTACAGCTATATTTTTGTACCTAAACTAAGGTGTTCAGAGTAATTTTACACGTTTTAGCCAACATATACATGCAGTCTTAATTTTTCGCGAAGCCGTTTAAGACCAAATTGAGATTTGCTGGGAATACTTTTATTATTTATTTCAATCGGGCCAATACGAGGTTTAAGCTCATCATTTCAAGGTAAATCATATACAATTGGGAGTCCTGCACTTATCGATGCCTTGCTCAAAATCGTTTCTTTAACCAATTGTCTCCTACATGATTGGTTAACAATACAGTTTCTACAAAATGAATGCTTGGGTTGTAGATACGAACCTTACTGCGATCGTGTAATTTGGTACCTAAATATCAAATACGCTCCGGGCTACATGCCTCTTACATGTATATGTTTACTCCTCTTGTTATACATTTGTACACGAAAATATATATGCTTTCCTTCACTTAATTATAATGAATACGTGATCTTTAGGTGATAATTAAAATTGGGTCTGGGTTTACAATTTAATCTTAATTTTATAATGTATGTACATGCGCATTGTTTATTTTTATGAATAATTATAATATATAATAATATTATATTTAATTTATACTTGCTCGTTTCATAGTCAGAGATACAGATGGCAGTTTTCCTTTGATAAATAATTAAATCAGGAAAATCTAATTTACTACATCTTTCGCCGGCGACCAGGTATATACGGCTCAATCGGTTAGAGCGTCCACCTAGAGTTGGGAGGGTCCCGGGTTCAAACCCCTGTCCGGCCGTGCATTTTTCCTCTCTCCTGTCGCAATTTTAGAGCGTCCGTCTAGAGTTCGGTAGGTCCCATTCTGGCCGTGTATTTTTCCTCTCTTGTGACATAAGTTTACCAGACCCACATGCAACTCAGCTCAGATACATATCTGTTGTTGATTAATACAAACACTCTGATCTGTATACTTTTAGAAATTGATTTTATTGACGACATTTGCAAAATGGGTACACAATTGTAAGCAAGACACATATGTAAAATTGAAGGAACCATTTTCTTCGTTGCATCAGATAGAAAAAATCATTATGCCGATAAGATGCCTTCCAAAATTACATCTCCCTTGGTTATTTTCAATACAATATACAAGCAAGAAACCATTTGTATATATAGTTTACCATGCAAAACATACAATTACCATAAAGTTGTTCATACAATTTTCAAATCGCACCACCACATACACCATCGTCACAATGTTTCTCCTGAAACACTTCTACCACCGCACACACCATCGTCACACTGTATCGCCATAAAAACTTTAGCACAGTCCAGATCTACCATCACACACCATTCCCAAACCATACCACCACACATTACATCCTCACTATGTATTACTACACACCATTATGTCAATGTAGTATTACTTTACATAATCTTCATCTATAGATTCATTATCATGTGTTGTCAGTGCGGAATACTTAAGAAGAAAATGAGATCGACTTGAGAAAGGATTTTCCCATTCTGAAACACATTTGCCCAAAAAGGAACGTTGACGTCTGGTCGCGCCAGGCTACGGCCTGAGCCGGAAATAATGTCCACACAAAATGGATCCGTGTAAGAAAATATTCCATCATAAACATATCAATATAAAATTACGAAAAAATATTGTGAGGACAACAACACTTTATAAGCTTATATAATATATGTAGAAGCCAATGACGATAAAATTGTTTGGAAAAATATTTTTCTACATAGTTTTAAGGTTCATGGTATTCTTCCGCGCAAACCTATTTGTTTACGTTTGTTCCAGATCGAGGATCGGTCATTGCAGCCTATAGCTAAAAGACATTTGGAAAATTTACGTTGTTTAGTTGACATTTTTTATGAATGGAGAAATGTATATGGTAAGTACATAGACTCCACCTGCGATGGCCTCTCGATTTAATCCACGTGCTCGCGATGAGAAACCCTCAACACACAGTGTGATAATCTAGAGTTATGACGTATTACTACTACACACAACACATACCATTCTGACACTGTTTCATCACCACGCACAATTTCACCTCCGCTCTCGTAACGAGCTCTTTCAGACTTTCTACCAATTCATAGCATTTTCGCAATTCCCCCATTAATGGAACAGGCAAAAGTGCTCTGCTTGCTGGCTATTGGACCTTATCTTACTCATCCATGCTTTTTTGAAATTTATATATGATTTTGACACCATGCGATATTATAAACTATTGGCAGTATACGGCCCCTTATTTCACTCCACCGGACGTCCTCTCCTGTCATGAAAACAAAATGAGACACAGCCTCCTGATATGACCTTAGTTCCGGAAGTATATGCCCTATAAAGTACCGGAATAGGTTTACTTTTGGGAGTCTGTACTGAGCAGTATTAACATAAAGCAGCACGTAATTTCACAAGCAACGGACGCTGAGACATCATACATAAATCTAAATTGTGCAATGTAATAATTTCCCAACAACAAATGTCGCCGGAACGTAATTGCAATCCTAAAATTAGCATTCAAGTCTCATAACACCAGGTGCCTCTCCAACGTCCCAAACATTATGACATGTAACGATATTATGGCACATTTTCATTTTATGAAACACTACACAAAATATAGCATGACAACCTGAGGTACAATGTGATATCCGTACAATGCGTCCGACACCTTGTGTTATCCTGTTCATTTAAGATAGACATACTCTCCTACATCTGTCACCACATGATGTGTCGTTTGTGAAAGCTTCAGACATTTTCCTGGCATTCATGACCGTCGTCTTCCGGTAGCAGTTTGTATTCGACAGCAAGAAAGGCGAACGAAGCGTACGTAAAGATGGCGGCAAAGACGTTGACGACAAAGGACCAGCCGAGGTTGAGTGGCCCCGTGATATCTATCTTCTTTTGATTATAGGAGAAGACAACATACTCGTTCCGCTGTAGATCGTACACGTAGTCCTTCCCCTTAATCCCCATCACCGTCCCAGACATAATGGCAAGGCTAGCTGCAAAAGAGGAACATGTCATAAATATAGTATGAAATACCGAGCTAGGTTTGCTGCAACTGAGAAATAGTAGCAAAGAAGCATGACCTCACACTCCCGTTGATAAAGATAAGACTTGCTAAAACAGAGAAACATGTTAACAAACTCCTCGACAAAATACCAAAGCTAGCTGTAACAGAGAAATACATCTTCTTAAACAATTTAGTCCGACGGAACATTATAGCGGGTTAATCTCAGATACTCGTTTAAGGGCCTTTTAGTCTTATACTAAGCAAGTTAAACTTTTACTTGTTATTAATCAGACTAAAGGGTGTTCCCAGAACACGGGAGATTGCTTTTAGGGCAAAGTCAAGCTTAAAAAACATGACATCACACTCCCCCTAATAATGGAAAGACTTGCTGAAACAGGAAAAACACATCAAACTCCGGACACACTGACACAGCATGTTGTTACAGAGAAACAGAAACAGAGAAATCAGACCCCTGACGTAATAGAAACAAACCATCAAATTCCCCGAAATAATGACAAAGCTTATTGTAACATAGAAAAAAACACTATTAGTCTCTACGACAAACCATCACATTCCCTTAACAAATGGTCAGCTTATTGAATAGGCAAAGTCATTCTAGTTTACCGAGATAAAGAGGGCTGAACTAGCTAGATCAGTTTAGGAATTAATAAGGCAGGTCACATATGTTAAAGTTGGCAGCGGGTCAAGGTCACATTAGTTAGATTTGACAGGAAAGGCCACGCTAGTAACAATTAGGAGAGTTTACCAAACTATATAGACAATGCAAGTCTTTTCGTTTAAAGAGTAAAATCTTACCTGCTGAGAAGGTACTGACAGCCAATAACATGAGCACGCACTTCCGGTCGATATACTTCCGGTAGGGGATGTCTTGTACCATGGACACAATAGTGACAATCATAGCGACGAAGAGTAATACATACAGCAGTAGTGACATGACAGCGAACGCCTGGGACGCCGTTATAAAACCTACAACATATACATTTATAGTAAGGGCGTGACGCCGTTATAGAACCTACAACATATACATTTATAGTGAGGACGTGACGCCGTGACCTGCAACACATACATTTATAGTGAGGGCGTGACGCCATTATAAAACCTGCAACACATACATTTATAGTGAGATCGTGACGCCGTTATGAAAACCTGCAACACATACATTTATAGTAAGGAAGTGACACCGTTATAAAACCTGCCACATATACACTTTAGTGAGGACGTGACTCCGTGACATGCAACACATACATTTATAGTGAGGACGTGACGCCATTATAAAACCTGCAACACATACATTCATAGTGAGAACGTGACGCCGTGACATGCAACATATACATTTATAGTGAGGAGGTGACGCCGTGACCTGCAACACATACATTTATAGTGAGGACGTGACGCCATTATAAAACCTGCAACACATACATTTATAGTGAGGACGTGACGCAGTGACCTGCAACACATACATTTATAGTGATGACGTGACGCCGTGACCTGCAATACATACATTTATAGTGAGGACGTGACGCAGTGACCTGCAACACATACATTTATAGTGAGGACGTGACGCCGTGACCTGCAACACATACATTTATAGTGAGGACGTGACGCCTTGACCTGCAACACATACATTTATAGTGAGGACGTGACGCCTTGACCTGCAACACATACATTTATAGTGAGGACGTGACGCCTTGACCTGCAACACATACATTTATAGTGAGGACGTGACGCCTTGACCTGCAACACATACATTTATAGTGAGGACGTGACGCCTTGACCTGCAACACATACATTTATAGTGAGGACGTGACGCCTTGACCTGCAACACATACATTTATAGTGAGGACGTGACGCCTTGACCTGCAACACATACATTTATAGTGAGGACGTGACGCCTTGACCTGCAACACATACATTTATAGTGAGGACGTGACGCCTTGACCTGCAACACATACATTTATAGTGAGGACGTGACGCCTTGACCTGCAACACATACATTTATAGTGAGGACGTGACGCCTTGACCTGCAACACATACATTTATAGTGAGGACGTGACGCCTTGACCTGCAACACATACATTTATAGTGAGGACGTGACGCCTTGACCTGCAACACATACATTTATAGTGAGGACGTGACGCCTTGACCTGCAACACATACATTTATAGTGAGGACGTGACGCCTTGACCTGCAACACATACATTTATAGTGAGGACGTGACGCCTTGACCTGCAACACATACATTTATAGTGAGGACGTGACGCCTTGACCTGCAACACATACATTTATAGTGAGGACGTGACGCCTTGACCTGCAACACATACATTTATAGTGAGGACGTGACGCCTTGACCTGCAACACATACATTTATAGTGAGGACGTGACGCCTTGACCTGCAACACATACATTTATAGTGAGGACGTGACGCCTTGACCTGCAACACATACATTTATAGTGAGGACGTGACGCCTTGACCTGCAACACATACATTTATAGTGAGGACGTGACGCCTTGACCTGCAACACATACATTTATAGTGAGGACGTGACGCCTTGACCTGCAACACATACATTTATAGTGAGGACGTGACGCCTTGACCTGCAACACATACATTTATAGTGAGGACGTGACGCCTTGACCTGCAACACATACATTTATAGTGAGGACGTGACGCCTTGACCTGCAACACATACATTTATAGTGAGGACGTGACGCCTTGACCTGCAACACATACATTTATAGTGAGGACGTGACGCCTTGACCTGCAACACATACATTTATAGTGAGGACGTGACGCCTTGACCTGCAACACATACATTTATAGTGAGGACGTGACGCCTTGACCTGCAACACATACATTTATAGTGAGGACGTGACGCCTTGACCTGCAACACATACATTTATAGTGAGGACGTGACGCCTTGACCTGCAACACATACATTTATAGTGAGGACGTGACGCCTTGACCTGCAACACATACATTTATAGTGAGGACGTGACGCCTTGACCTGCAACACATACATTTATAGTGAGGACGTGACGCCTTGACCTGCAACACATACATTTATAGTGAGGACGTGACGCCTTGACCTGCAACACATACATTTATAGTGAGGACGTGACGCCTTGACCTGCAACACATACATTTATAGTGAGGACGTGACGCCTTGACCTGCAACACATACATTTATAGTGAGGACGTGACGCCTTGACCTGCAACACATACATTTATAGTGAGGACGTGACGCCTTGACCTGCAACACATACATTTATAGTGAGGATGTGACACCGTTATTAAACCTGCAACACATACATTTATAGTGAGGACATGACGCCATGACCTGCAACATATACATTTAAAGTGAGGACGTGACTCCGTGACATGCAACACATACATTTATAGTGAGGACGTGACGCCGTGACCTGCAACACATACATTTATAGTGATGACGTGACGCCGTGACCTGCAACATATACATTTAAAGTGAGGACGTGACGCCGTTATAACACCTGCAACACATACATTTATAGTAAGGACGTGACACTGTGACCTGCAACACATACATTTATAGTGAGGACGTGACGCCGTGACCTGCAACATATACACTTATAGTGAGGACGTGACGCCGTGACCTGCAACATATACATTTAAAGTGAGGACGTAACGCCGTTATAACACCTGCAACACATGCATTTATAGTGAGGACGTGACATCGTTATAAAACCTGCAACACACATATATTTATAGTGAGGACGTGACGCCTTGACCTGCAACACATACATTTATCTCCGTGACATGCAACACATACATTTATAATGAGGACGTGACGCCGTGACCTACAACACATACATTTATAGTGAGGCCGTGACGCCTTGACCTGAAAGATATCCATTTAAAGTGAGGACGTAACGCCGTTATAACGCCTGCAACACATACATTTATAGTGAGGACGTGACACCGTTATAAAACCTGCAACATATACATTGATAGTGAGGACGTGACGCAGTGACCTGCAACACATACATTTAAAGTGAGGACGTGACTCCGTGACATGCAACACATACATTTATAATGAGGACGTGACGCCGTGACCTGCAATACATACATTTATAGTGAGGACGTGTGGCCGTGACCTGCAACACATACATTTATAGTGAGGACGTGACGCCATGACCTGCAACATATACATTTAAAGTGAGGACGTAACGCCGTTATAACGCCTGCAACACATACATTTATAGTGAGGACGTGACATCGTTATAAAACCTGCAACACATACATTTATAGTGAGGATGTGACACCGTTATAAAACCTGCAACACATACATTTATATTGATGACGTTACGCCGTGACCTGCAACACATACATTTATAGTGAGGATGTGACACCATTATAAACCTGCAACACATACATTTATAGTGAGAACGTGACGCCGTGACCTGCAACATATACACTTATAGTGAGGACGTGACGCAGTGACCTGCAACATATACATTTAAAGTGAGGACGTGAGGCCGTGACCTGCAACACATACATTTATAGTGACGACGTGACGCCGTGACCTGCAATACATACATTTATAGTGAGGACGTGTGGCCGTGACCCGCAACACATACATTTATAGTGAGGACGTGGCACCGTGACCTGCAACACATACATTTATAGTGATGACGTTTATAGTGAGGACGTGAGGCCGTGACCTGCAACACATACATTTATAGTGAGGGCGTGACGCCATTATAAAACCTGCAACACACACATTTATAGTGAGATCGGGACGCCGTGACCTGCAACACATACATTTACAGTGAGGACGTGACGCCGTGACCTGCAACATATACATTTAAATGAGGACGTGACACCGTTATAAAACCTGCAACATATGCATTTATAGTGAGGACGTGACGCCATTATAAAACCTGCAACATATACATTGATAGTGAGGACGTAACGCCGTTATAACGCCTGCAATACATACATTTATAGTGAGGACGTGAGGCCGTGACCTGCAACACATACATTTATAGTGAGGACGTTTATAGTGAGGACGTGAGGCCGTGACCTGCAACACATACATTTATAGTGAGGGCGTGACGCCATTATAAAACCTGCAACACATACATTTATATTGATGACGTTACGCCGTGACCTGCAACACATACATTTATAGTGAGGATGTGACACCATTATAAACCTGCAACACATACATTTATAGTGAGGACGTGACGTCTTGACCTGCAACACATACATTTATAGTGAGGATGTGACACCATTATAAACCTGCAACACATACATTCATAGTGAGAACGTGACGCCGTGACCTGCAACATATACATTTATAGTGAGGACGTTTATAGCGAGGACGTGACGCCGTGACCTACAACACATACATTTATAGTGAGGATGTGACACCATTATAAACCTGCAACACATACATTCATAGTGAGAACGTGACGCCGTGACCTGCAACATATACATTTATAGAGAGGACGTTTATAGCGAGGACGTGACGCCGTGACCTACAACACATACATTTATAGTGAGGATGTGACACCATTATAAACCTGCAACACATACATTTATAGTGAGGACGTGACGCCATTATAAACCCTGCAACATATACATTTATAGTGAGGACGTGACGCCGTGACCTGCAAACCATACATTTATAGTGAGGACGTGACGCCTTGACCTGCAACATATACATTTATAGTGAGGATATGACGCCGTTATAACATCTACACCACAAGCACAGTCACCGTAGCACCCACCGAAGACTATTTTGTTATTAATACTTCATGTTTTTTTGTTGTTTTTGAGTTGTGTGGACAGGATAACTACGTATACATTTTTTTGTAGATCAACTTCCAAAATTATTTATAGATAGATTGTAGTTGCCATTCATTAATAAGATTGTATCAATGCCCATACTTTTTTTATCGTTGGCATATTCTAGATACAGTGTAGTTCAACCCCTCCCCCTTGCTGCCGCCCCAACTTACCCCTTTCCCATTAGTCCTCAATAAGTATGTGGGTTTGAGGAATGTTGTCATAAAAATGACAAGAAGGAAAGAGAGTAAGGGATAAAAAAAAGAGTCAGATTTCGGAAAATGACTCGAAATCTTGTCTTTATTTATAAATGTATGATACCAGTATTATGGATGATGAGATGAAAACTCCTGTTACCTGTTGTAAACATTACCGAGAAGACAGTTACCGATTGAGATATATCTGTCGACGGACTGACATCAGTGTTGGTTGGTCATAGAAGATATACGGACCATGTTGTTAGTGTTCTTGAAATTATTTCTAACTTGAATTGCCAGCTGTAGTTCTGTAAAGTCCTGCGTGACACCAAACATCAATAATACAAACACCTTCACGAGTCTGAAATCGATACTATAACATACCGTACAGACACGCAGTGACAACATGATATCATGAAATATTCACAGCGTGCATGACCAAGTCTAACATGATACTCTGATTTTGACATGTAAATGTACAAATTTGAGTACTCCTATAAAGTCTGGTAATTTGTAAAATGGTAGTTTTTGGAAAATGTTACTTTTCGTACATGTACGTGAACATGTCAAATGTAGTTAATAGAAAGAACGGTTTGTAGTTAATTACCATATTTTTGGTTGTTGTGGACTCGCACTTTGCCCTCACACACTAGATATCGACATACTACCTATATTGATGAAACACGCACTGGTATTTCACTCAGCAGGGAACGTATACTTATTATCAATATATTGGTGAAACACGTTTGGGTCACCTTACAGTTGTAATGTCTATGTATACGATATTCCACTTTGGTCAGTCTATTAGGCGAGAACTCAAGTTGAGCGCGGACAAGATCATCATAGACTACCACTCTACAGTACTGGATAGCTGGCTAATATTGGAATATAAATAAATTGAAGGCTATATGGAAACGTTTGGCTGGTGACCGAAGGGTTGCGGGTTCGAGTCACGGCACGGCACTGTGTTGTATCTTTAAGCCTGATACTTTACTCTGCATTTTCCAGTCTAGTCAGTTGTAAATGAGCACGTGGTTGGAAATTGATTTAATTGTAGAACGCTATAGCTGTGAGCGCCGGCTGTATCAGCTCCCCGGGGAGTTGAGAAAATTATTGGCTTGTTGCAAAGGGATAACCACAGATAATAATTTGTGAACCGCTTTTAGACGACCTGCGAGGTTGTGATAAAGCGGTATATAAGAACTTCGAATTATTATTATAATTATTATTAATAACTCGATGCTACATATTAACTAGGTCGATGGATGATTTTGAAAACTCTAAATCAAAATTTTGCCTTCAGAAAGAATACAAATGACTGTCATGTTAACCCTAACCACAAGAGTGCATTTGTTGGACGTATCATAAGTATGGAATCAGAATGGCGATGGTAAATCTTTACATGAGTTAACACGGCTTTGCTTGAGGCGTTACAAGATGACGTCACAATTTTGTCGGAGACTTTCTTTCGTCAATTTAAACGCAAATGTAACGCAAATACAATGCAAACGCGACGAAAGCGAAACGCAAACGCAACGCTTTGGAATTGTCCTTTATGAGGAATGTACTAGACTGGAACTGTCCGGTAGACCTAATCGCCGAAGTTGAAATGAAAATGGTGTCCTAACCACCAGAAGTAAATAATTTAAAAATATAAAACGATACAGTGGTTGTTTACAGAATATAGTTTATTTTTGGGAAAGAATTTATACCTATAATTCGGATCGATTAATGCATTTCAATACGACCTAAATATTTTACGTTATATTTTGGACGTTACACTTGAAATGATGTCATTATCATTACACATGCGGTTTTATAACTCTGGTTGGTTTTATTGGATTTGCATCATAGGAATGTTACGAAAATATAAACCAAATGCTGATTTGCTGTAACTTTTCATCGATACATGTATTAAGGTTTTCGTATGACTAGATCCTATAACCCTACCATTTGTCGGCTGTTCCCAAGCGTCACACGTCCAGTAGGCAGGCTCCTTTACCATGAGACATCTGGACCACAGACCACCATGGATACCCTCACGAACATGTAACCAGGTTGGGGTGGCAAACGCTATCACGAAACACAGGAAACCGCACAGAAACAGCGCAGCCGCAGTGACTAGTTTCCGGGTGAAGAATGTCGTATCCATTATCGAGGCTTTGGTTAAAGGATGTTGTTGTCATCATCAAATTCTGAAAATGAATAACATAAATCGTGAGGTAGTGTACAGTGGTAATGATAGCTGTGACCTTACTGCGTACTCCGTGAAACCTATCTAAATGAAATATATTTCATTCAATTTCTTTTTGCGTTTATAAAATAATATAAGTGATACATACTTTCTGAAGTTTGATTTGGAAACAAGTTTTACAACTTATATAAATGCATCTCCATGAACCTCTCAACATAATAAACACAAAATGTGCAATATAACACCTAAACACAAAGTGTATATTATAACACCTGCTTACAATATTTGGAATTAACACCTGAACACAATGTGAAGATTACATAGTCCCTATACAAAATATGGCTTTTACCACCTAAACACGATGGGTTGATTATACACCTACATGTGGACTAACTCAAACACAATGCTTGTTTTACAATACACACTGGTATGATTATAAAACCAAACGCAATGTATGGATCATCATGCATGAAGCAATTAAGGGGTAACCCTACCGTATTTTGAAATTTGCGGCGGTGTATTGTGAATTTAGTTATACTGTCGCAAATTGAGTTTAATGGTGACGCGGAGCGGAGCCATTACAACGGATAATTGCGACAGTATAATCACGATATACTGCCGCACATGTCAAAATACAGTAAGGTTATCCCCATTCTAATTCATATAAGCCAAAACCACAAAAAGAAACGACGACTTAAATATATTTTTGAGTGTTTTCTTCAAACTCTAGGTCACTCTGCCGTGGATTGGTCACGTCAGAAATATTCAAAGTGAGGCGGAATGACATTAACCTTTCGGGGTCGTGCTGTTGTTCGTGACTTCATCGATAGTCAATTTCAACATGCCAGGGTCAATCGGGGTCATTAACGTCATTAACAATCGTTATCCGGGCTTCATATGCAAATGAGAAAAACATTGTATATCGTTGCCGTGTTATATCTCAAATGAATTAGATTTGTGAATCATAACATCACATTGCCTTCATTATAAAATATATGCACTTACGCATATGTAGATAATCCTAACTACGTGTACAATGATTTTAGTTTAATTTTGTTTAACGCCCTTTTAACAGCTAAGGTCATTTCAGGACGTGCCTCCATGTGTGTTGTGTAAGCATGCATGCATGTATGTGTACTGGAGACAGGATATGTTGGTATACTTGCCTCCTTGTGATAGCCTGGATCTGATGCCGACTTTATAGTGCTATCTCACTGAAATGCCATGCCTAAATCCTAGCACAGCATTCCACCGGTCACATTATACTGACAATGGGTGAACCAGTTGTTTCCATTACCCTTAATGCTGAACGTTAAGCAAGGAATAACAACTACCATTTTAAAGGACTTTGGTATGACCCGGCCTGGGGACAGAACCCATTGCCTTCCTCACCTGGGCGAAAGTTCAACATTAAAGCCAAAAGTGAGGTATTGCCAAGCAAGGCGTTAGGAAATAAAAGGAAGGAAAAAGCTTAAAGAAATATAATGATCCGAACTATGGTAATTGGTGCAGCAGATTTATTTTGGTCGCTTTTGTGTCTCCAAGTAAAGGGCACAAAAGCAAATCCCTATTCTGCAGGGGGTTAAACATTAGTCGCCTCTTATGATACATGCATTGGGTAATAGCAGGTGTATTCTTTTCTCGATAAGATGTGTGAATTATAATATATCAAATATAAATACCCACCCCCCCCCCCCCCCCCCNGCCCCTTCCCGTCTGATTATATCAAATGGTACTTACCAAGTGAAATGTAACATCTATAGAAATGTGATAATAATAAGATCCAATCGTGATAAATGTATGTTATAACACATTAATACAATACATGGGTGGTATCGCCTACATGTATAAAACACATTGATTACAACAAACGTACATTGTAGCTTTTAACAGTTAGAAATGCTGCGTGCATTATAACACCTAAATATTGTATAGATTATAACATACAATATGTCTATACTTTGTGGATTATAACGCTATAAATAAACAGATTGCAACACTGATAGTAAACAATGGCGTACGTTTGCTGATAATCGTGCCCCTGCAAGTCAATGACACAGTTGTTGTTAGCTAAGATTTCAATATAATATCAACGTATTTTAAGACAAGCATAAACATACAGTCAAAGAATGCTAGCTCAATTAAGATATTTTGGTAAAAAATAACTGCTGCTAATTTCTGAAACCTATTGCTCCTTTAGCAGTTTAACCATATACACTGTTGGCTTGTCAGCATTCGTCGCTGGCTGGTCTGATGAACCCGGCTCGAAGGACGGTAGTGATGCCGACTGCCATATTGATTATTTGTTAGACGTAAATAATATGGCTACGGACACGTGTGATCACAAAATGGACACGGAACCCACACATTACTGACTCTGGTTATACTGGACTCGCCAGAACTGATGTACAAGTACAGTAATAAAGGCCTACTAATCCTACAGATTGACTGTATGTTTCAAGTGCGTATTGCATTGCAAGAGTGAATGGATGGTGGCAAAAACAACACGCAATATGGCGACTGCAACCATTGCTCCCTTACTTACCCCGGCGAAGGCACTGTGTGTACTTCCGGTGTCACCACAACAGGGGTCGGGTGACTTCCATCCCACTCCTTCACCATTCACCAGACTCAATCCCTGGCAGGGTTACGTCGCACGTACAATCTATCGCCGTGAACGATTTCGGGAAGCATACTTATCGATTTTTGTTGCTATGTCAACGACTCCGGGCCATTTTATGCAGTGTATCGTTCAAGACGAAATTCCACCAAATATAGCGGAGAGAAAACTAATCACGTGTTAACTTTCAGGGGATGTCTGTTTGCCTGTAACAATACAAACATGTCTATGATTAGATTCAGTGTGGGAGCCGCGTAGCTATACATGGAGGTAATACACCGGCTAGCACTATTCAACCGTCAAATTCATTGGACGAAGGTTATGCTAAAGTGTATGTTTATTTAGTTATTTTATTTTTACAAAGAGTTTTGCTTTTAAAGTCTTACCTTGTACCAAAAATCCTAACCTAGCACACATATTAATAGTGGGAATATCATATGTGAACAAGGGAAGAAACGTTGCTAGGAAAATGCACACAAATTCGCTTTATTTCAATAACTTGTCCATGTATTTTCGAAATAAAACCAACTATTAACATATAACAATGTTAGCCTTTCAATGGTTGTAAACATCGATAACGCCACATATTGATACGTTTGGATCTTCTACGTCATGCCATATCAATGTTGAAAGATCGCGTCTAACTGACCCGAAAAACATCTAAAAAAATGTTGTGAAAATAAGGGACCGATCAGACGCCGTCTTTCAAAAACGAGTATCCATGGAAGGTTGCCAAAAGTGATATGACATGTTGCGGCAATCATTTCGGGAGTTGGAACTTCACAATGTATATGAGCTTATTGCGTAAGTATCTCCGGAAGTGACCATTCATAACTTTGCTGTCCTTAGCCAAACATTCGAAATCGAGAATAATAGACGGAAATCACGTGACTTAGATATGGTGAAATACATGAAAAACAAAAAGCTGACAGTGCCGTTGTTCTTCACATTATATATTTGGCGAGCGTAGAATGATAAATGCATCGTACTTAAAAGCTATTGAAACACTGTGGATGAAAACGATACCATTGTTTATCAGAACGTTATGGCTCAAGCTGATAATTTTTGCAGTGGTGTAACCCACGAGCGACTGGAATCTTAACTATTTGTGTGTAGATCTGCTGGTCTTTATAGTGTATTTTACACACCAATGTCATTGTGTTGATGCAGCAGTGATTTTTGATCTATATATTATTATGGATTTCATACAAGAGTATACAAATGTAAATCGAAGAAGGACCAATTAACAACATGGTAAGTTCCCATAGAGAGTTCTCAAAACTAGAATGAATATTTAATTAGACTGAATTTAAGATTTTACAGAAAAGCAACACAACGAGGACAAAGCGTAACATATTAAAAAAACGAGAAAAAAAGGAGAGGAAAGAATATTACAATTTTCAGCACAAAATGAAAGTAACCAAGTGCTGCCTTTCCCAAGCTTTTATCTTACCTGCTGCCAAGAACTCAGTGATCTATGGTCATTGTACATCGGCTATGCATCTCAATAGGTCTCTGGTTGAATGCAAATAGGTAACATCCATATTGCACGAAGCCCGTTTGGCTTTATGAGAAATCTGGATTATAGCACATTTGCATAAACACCAGATTGAATGGTTTAAAAATTCCATTCATTATGTATATTTACTTTCTAAATTATATTTATAAGATGCTTTTTTGGGTTGGGTTTTTGGGAAAATGTGCCGTTTTCGATTCAATTTATTACATTCAATGTTCAAAAGGATCATGTACGTTTCCCTTTCAACAAGGCTATGTTTAAACAATAGCATTTCGTGGCAAACGTCAAAAACATTAAATAATAAACCTTTGAACTTTTTCCTCTTTTAACATGATACTAAAACTTGGCCGACCTATCGTTTCCATGAAAAACTGGAAGACATGCTGCAACAATTGCGGTTGTTTTTTTTCCACTTTGCATACAAAATTATTCGAAATGTCTCCAGAATGAAGACCATGGAAAATTGGTGAATACTTCATTCAAGTTTCAAGTTATTTTCCCAGTTGCTGCTTGCAAGTAAAATGCAGATTAGTTCCGTTTGAATATAAACAAATAATGTTCCATATTTCGTATCAGCTGAGACGTCCATGTTGTAAAAATAGGTCAAAGAGTTAATAGAATGTGCTTGATGTGTGATATTTGAAAATATGTTATAGATTTTGCATGTATCATTTAAATTTGATCTATATTACATAAACTGTCAGTGTGCGTGTACGTCGCTGCTACAGTAGTATTCAGCCAGGTTAGTTAGCTATATATCCGTGCCTCAGTTCGTGCGCTTTAAAATATTGGACGGAACCGAGTTTATCGAAGAAACAGTTCTTTGGATAATAGAATGGACAGAATAATATATACAAACTAACTGTTGTTAATTTGAAAATTGCTCTGCAAGATTTTCAGGTAACATAATTACTCTAATTTGCGACCTATTATAAATTCATGTAATCACTTTGAAGCAATTGAAATATATTTTAAACATATTACGTGTATCAAGGTACGTTGCAGCTGTAAAATGTGTGGTGGGAGTTGCTTCCCCTGTCACACTTTTGGCTTTTACACGTTGATGGCATAATATCATGCCAGTCACGGGTGTTAGTTAGTTTGTTAACAGTTAAAGTATGGGTATGAGGGATATAGCAAGTTTATGATCCCCCGAGGCCAGGACTATTTCCCGAGGCGAATCCCGAAATACCCATACTTCAACTGTTTTATTATACCGATACAAACACTCCCTTACACTATTCTAAATATTAGTAGACAACAAATTTTCAATGTCAACAGGAAGTACCGGCGCGCTGGCCGGAAATTGCCGGAATTTGCCGACGTAATTCGATTGCGCTGATTGGTCAATATTCGGTCAGGCCCCACCCACGACGTCACTCAATTTCCCGCATTTTCCGACGGAAATAGTTTCAAAACTATCGCACCCCTTCAGACGAACTATTTCCCTGGCATGCAGTTAGAGGGGAAATAGCTTGTTAATGTGGTTACTTTTGTATAGTGTAAAATAAGTAGAGGTATAATAATCCTAGGTATCCTAAAGGCTTGAAATACCTTTGATATTTAGGACAAAGATCACAATAATGCAGTCCAGTTATATGCTAAGGGGGTATGTTGGAATTAGATATTTTCATAAAGAGTTAACAAACTGAATATTTTCATGCCATTTGTTTATTGTTTTCATAAGCATCAACTCTTTTCTTTCTTTTTCTTGTTTATGCCTTCCTTATGCTCCTACTGGCGCGGAGAGACTTCACGTTAAGGCAAGGTATGCATCAACTTTAGGGTACTGTCTGAAATAGTTCGTTTGATCCGCTCTTTAATATAATTGTCATTAGGTACACTCACCGCAGAAATAAGATTTACATATTGAATTATAATTTCTTTGATTTTTTTGGAAGTACGGAAAAAACACTCTTTATTGTGAAAAATAAAAATTACCATACAAATTATATTTAAGTTTATCCAAGATTTTCGTATTCAGCTGTTGATAGAAATTAAAGAGAATGTGAGATTATGGAACGACAAATGCGTGTGGCGATCGTCACTCGACCTTGACCTCTTGCCCGGATGTATATATTTCGAAAAAGGTTTCAAGAGTAGGATTATTGCCAGAAAAATGCACAACATTCTTTGTTGAATATTTGTAATTTTCTTTTTGGAAGTTGTTCTTGATTAGGTAAAATTAACATTTTGAGGTTTATGTGTTGATGAAACTCGGCGTAACACAGAAGCATTTGTAAAATGAATCGTGATCTTGATTTGCTCTTTGAGATCAAGTTTTAACTCAAGTTCTAAACCCTGTTTTCTATGACAGATTTTCAAATTTCCTCAAAAATGTGCTGAAGAATTTATATGAAATGCAAGTTGTTGGTTAATTTCAAACAGTTGAAATACATAGATTTACTCTTTTTTTTTAATAATTCAAGTTTTGAAAGTCGATATTAGATGGCTTCCTTTAAATATCAGCAATATTTCACGAGTGTGACAAATTTCAGATGTTTTAACGAGTGCGCAAAAGCGAGTGAAACCTGGATACATATTTATATAATTCCAAATTTGATTTTGCGCTTCGCTATGGCCGCTCATGTGGTGAGTAAGATAATTTTTCCCCGTTCATACTTGCATAAACACTCGACAAAAATCCTGATTAAATTCCTATATAATTCTGTAATATCATGTCTTGAACAGCTATGACCCAGCATAGAATGATTAAACACTTCAATATATGTCCCTCTTGTACATATTTTCGCGTCTCAACAGGTTTAAAAGCACACTGAAGATATATATAATCAGTACAAATACGTTGGTCACGAATTCATCAACGGATATCACAGAATAATCAATACAGGATATTTTTCCCGCTTGTACGTGTTGGTGATTAATGATGTCCAACACGTGTCGCGTCAGCATTTATTCATCTGTCCCTCTTACAGTACAGTTGTCGAGATATCCATATCCACGAACCCCGAGTGAAACATCATTAATCGAGAGAACACAAAATATCGTGTTTGTTTCTCTACGTACCACATGGACAATGAATATCGTATTACACCGAAATAACAGAAGCACACCAATAAAGTATCAGGCTTACGTGCCATTGTGGTCGTCTGCTTCAGTCAATTCGGAACTTGATATATATCTCTGTCTCATTGTCTTTGCTAGAGAGGTACCGAACGAGGAAATATGATCGGAAAACTGGAGCGCGTGAGGAGAACACGATGTTTTAAATGACGTATGTTCACATCAACATTTTCAGCCTCATTAAAAAATGGACTAAGCAACAATGATCAATTATTACACAATCTTAATTCATATTTAAATTAATGTTGTTTCTTAGGATTTGTTTCTTTTTTTGTTTTCTTTTTATTTATTTTATTAGATAGTTTCAAAAGCTTTTCCATATTGTAGCTAATAAGCAACAAACACAGCTTTATAAATCGTCCGTCAGGTCCTATCCAGTTACGTTAACCATTGTAAAATGATTGGTTCGCTCTGTACAGTATCTTAGTTCGCCCACATCGCTGGCAGATCTAGACTCGGTGCTAATATCTATTTTGAGATCAAGGTCTGCAAGATGTTTGT